TGGTGTCTCTTCAATAGTACTTGTTGGGAAAGAAGTGGTTATAATAGGAGAGGCAGTACTATTGCTAGCAGAACTAGTGACAATAGACTCAGAAATGGTAGCAATAATAGTAGATGTAGGATCTGGAGATGTTGATGAGAAGGTACTCGTCATTGGTGTAGAAGTAACGTTGGGAACATTGTGACTCCAAGTGACCTCAGTTAACTTTTCCAGCCTGAAAATCTTGTTAATCAGTTGAATAGTTAGTGTCTGCCAGAAAAGAAGAGATAACATTGGTATTTTAGAACTCTTAAACATCACATTTAACAACAACAAATGATGTGTTCATATTTTCCCCAGAGAGTAACAGAAGGTTCCTTTTCAGGTCCCATTGATTCCAGACAGATGACTATAGAGAGATGTGCTGTGGGCATAATCCCTGTGCCAGAAATGTGTCTTTCTACTTCATTTAGTCAGAACTACACTGCTCAAGAATTTGCATATTTTATTAAAACCAATGCTCAGAAAAATATCTGTGTTTTGACACTAGATTTTAACCTTTCTGAAGGCATGACTGGTTTCATGTTTTTACCATCCCAACACATAGTATACTGCCTGGCACATAATAGCATAGTGTAAACCCTGAGATTTGGATTTCCTTTTTTTCTTCATTTTGTTTCTTTTTTGTAAGGCAAGTGCCGCAGTTAAACTTCAACTGACAGATTTGTCCATTTCAAAGAGGCATCTATTTCCAGCCCAGGGAAGCTCCTTTGTTTTCCAGATCTTGGTTGATTTCAATAATTGATCACTTGGTCCCCTTGTTGGTTTCTCTTCTCAAGCTTGAAATTCACCATGTGTCAAATTCATCAATAAAGAGTGAGCCCTGGAAGCCCTAAGTCCCTACCCCCACCCCCCAAAAAAACTGAACCCTAGGCTCTTGCATTCTCGACCCCCCCCGCCCCTCGACCGCCCCAGGACCTCCTTGTATGGCCCCAGGTGTGCTGTGAAATTTCCAGGATTTATATAAGTTATAAGCTTGTATCTTTTCAAAGTTTCCTGATGATTATTGCTGAAAAACATCTTTTACTCATAATAAGAACCACATGAGCTGGTCCAGCCACAACCTTGGTTATTGGTAGGTTGAGACCAGCACATAACAAATGCGCATCTGATATGCTACAAACTTTCCCCAAAAGAAAGTGTTCAAAAATCTTCTGTATCAGTCTTAACTGTAAGTATTTACTTGCAAAGAGTGGTTTTGAGATCAATAGTTCAGGAAAAATGTCCTGAAGTAGAGAGCTAAATGATATAAAATATAGCATAGGGAATATAGTCAATAACTGTGTATGGTGTCAGATGGGTGTAAGATTATTGGAATGATCACTTACTAAGTTATGTAATGTCTAATCACTAAAGTGTACACCTGAAACTAATATAATAATGTATGTAAACTGTAATTGAAAATAAACAAAATTATTTAAAAAATCAATTCTTAGTGACTTAAAAAATTAATGAGATTGGAGAAAGAGGATCTGTTTGAATGTTCAGAGTGTCATTGTCCAAAATTCAAGTACCAGCAGGACACTCTTTTTATCATTTAGAAAACAAGAATAATCCATTTTTACCTTTCTAAACCACTCCCTATGAGTTACTGAATCCATATTTATGATAGATCTAGTGTTCAAAAGTGGGATACTTTTCCTTCTGCTGTTCCTCTTAATAACTCTACTTGTAACCTGTCTTCAATTAGTTGGCTGTGGCCATTAACCAAATAATTGATCTCACATCACAGGTAGCATATATTCATTTTTATGATTACCACCAATTTTCACCAACTTATGAGATCTATTGATTTGACCAAGGATGTGAGTAATTTCAGGAAGAAGGGAGAAAAATTTCCAATAACAATTTTATTAGATAACTCTTTCCTTTGTTTGAGCCTCTGCCACAGACATAGGTTTTGTTATACTAGCCTGGGAAACCAAACTTAACACATAGCATAGTTTCTTTGGGAAACCATTGGAAAGGATTTCATCACACCATTGATCATTGCTCCCTTGATTACACTGGGGAGGACCACTAATATTTTATATTTTATAATATAATTTAATAGTTGCAACTTTTCTGGAACATATCTATTGTATATGTTTATAACCTTTCAAATATAAGTAAATATAACTGATAATAATAGTGGTGGTAACTTTGCAGAATAAAATTAATTTATGACATAACAACATTCCTTTGAGACATACCTGATTGTAGGGGTCACTCGTGAAATTCATTGTTGTGAATTGCTTGTTGTTATAGGTGACATTGACTTGTGTCACATCAGTAGAATGGATCCCCCAGATTTTAATATATCCAACTTTCAGTTGATTTGAATCATTCAAATACTTATTGTGCATGGTCTGGATTTGCAATATGTTCTATAAGAAATGTATAAAAATAAAAAACATATAATATATCTGTTGATTGCCTATATTCCATATTAAAATGTTAAGCCTCAAATTACTATTGTACTGGTTTGCTGTTTATTTTTAATTAAACATTTCATGAGGACTACTTTCTGAGTACCAGCTACAGTCAATTTGATGATATCCAATATTATTGTAGCTATCATATTGGATAGTGCAGGTCTAAGATAGTCTCTCCATCCTAGGCAACATGTTTTAAGACAAATCTATACTCATTATAGTCCAACAGAATAATCAGATCTGAAAACTAGTTTAAACACAAAATAGAGGAAGTTTCCCTGGAAGTTATGATTCCAAGAAGAGAGAACAGAAAGGATATATGTCAGACATTGTCACATACTTGAAGCACTATCTATAATAATAAAAGCGTAATATGCTAATTAGATCAGACATCTTTCCCAACGATCTTCTGGATGAAGCTGGGGCTGTGAGGGAAGCCCAGGTCCTGGGTGCCAGAGGAAATCCCGGGTCCCAGGTACCAGAGGGAAGCCAGTGCCAGCAGCAAGGGGAAGGAAGGCCTACTCTTTCATGAATTTCATGCATCAGGCCTCTAATTATGTATAAGAGACACAATAGGTTTGTGTAATACTATTCCTTAGTTCAAATCAATGGGGAACAAATGAAAGAAGGTTCCAGGTTTGACATAAAATGATCTTCCTACTCTAATTAGAATTTTTTAAGTTATCCATGGAATAATAAAACATGCATGGTAGATTGATTGAATCACTGTCTCAAATTATTTTCCCCTCCTTATCCATATCATTTTCCATATGAT